TCTGGCCCTACAACTTTGTGCTGTATCCCCTACCTGGCCCAAAGTTGACCACTTGACTTTTTGTTTAAGATAAGCAATGAGATTTGTACCTCAAAGATGCTTTGGGCTGCGGGCAAAGTCAAGGAAATATCCATATATTAGCTATATGGATAGTTAGGCCAGATTTTCCAGCTGTTTATTTTACAAGCATGTTGAGACAACGTAATTCAGTTAGAGGTTATTAAGTCTAAGCTGTTAAGTTAATTTTAATTACTTTAATAGACCTTTAGCATTCATGTTTAATCCAGTACTACTTATTGGCCTACATAGTATGTTGATACTTTTTAAAGCTTCAGACTTGGCAGCTCTCTGAAAGGGTACTAGTATTTCCCAGATACTTGGATACTTCTTGCTGCTGTTGTTAACCAACGTAGACTTCAGCTCTGCATTTGGACTAAAATTTAAAACCATCTGCAGAAGGGAGCCTGATGCTGTATTTGTAAGCATAATCACTGCCTGACTTTGAAAAGGGTGCCTGTGTGTCTGCCAGGTGAAGGCACTGAGTGGAAGGATGGTGGGGAGAGGGAGAGAGAAACAATGAGTCATAGAACATTGTACCAGCTGAGGAGGTCTGAGAAGCTGCCCAACAGACCGTGAGACCTTGTTCGCTGAAATGAAGCCTCGCTCAGGATTCTTCCAGCCCTCTTCGGATTCCTGGGGAGAAACATCCTCCTGGTTACAGCACAATAAGTATCAGCCACCACTTTTTTCTGTGTTGTTTCAACATCTTTTCTTTTGACATAAGAGTGCTTCTCCAGCAATTCAATTTTAAGTTTTGAAGTTTCTGAACTATGTTAAGATTCAATCTGCCCCCTACTAGGTGGCAATTTCTATCCTGATCTGCAGTGATTAAAAATTAATCTAGCTAGGTTTTAAAGGTACGCCATAATTCAGGCATTCTGATCTTCTAAGTCAGGTTTTAAACTAAATGCACATTACATGTACATATCTGCTTTATTTAAAAAATAGAATCAGTGTTTCATCTTTAAAGTAAAGATTATTCATGATTTCCTGGTTTATTTAGAATTGCAGATGTGTCACTGCAGCTAAACAATCAGAGAGCATCTTCCAATTGACTGTTCATCTCTTTGGAGGGATACTTTTAGTGGTTGGTATCAGAAACAGGTACAAAAGGAGCTTTTAAGTCTCTACCTGTGGCTGCTACATTTTTGTTATTGTGTTTCAGGAAGCAAACCCAGCCCTGCCATGCTTTGCTGAGGCATAGCTTCCCTAATGCCATAGGACAAGTTTTCTTCTTTGCTACAAGCAGCCATAGAAGTATGCTAACATAAAAAGAGAAGAGACTCAAAGTCATATAAAGACTTGATTCTCTTACAGGGATAATCTGTGTGATTTTCCTAAATATTTTGTCAAGTTTTTCTGTCTCTTTTTTTCTTAAGTGTATGTTGGCAATAAATGCTTGCTGACCTTCCTTGGATCAGCTTTTATCCTCTAATAACTTGAGGTAATGTGTACAAATCCTGGGATTTACATATTTGACTGATTTATGAGTAAATACCTCTCAGTCTCTGTTTAAATCTGCTCAAGTCTAAAGAGGTGCTGATGTGGATACAGATGTATTGCAGGTACTTGCACATGACAGATTTTGTTCATTAACTCTTCCACAACTATGACAAAATACTTCTGCGCCAAGTGGAAGCACCGGTTAAGGTGTTTTGCATCAGATTTGTGCAGGTTTGCGGAAGTTGTACTAAACCCGTTCTTGTGCAAATATTAACACAATTGTGGGGTTTTTTTACAAGTATACCATAATTGGTATGCCTCTAAATTCTTCCTGTCAGTTTATTAGTTCATGAAGGGCTACAGCATTTTCACTCATTGAATTCAGTTGTTAAGGCATATATGATTAAACCCGTCTAATCAAAGCTAGAGTCTTCGGTTCCTGGTGTTGGTGCTCTGTCTGTATGACTTTCTTGGCTTACTCCTCACCTTTTTCAGGTTATGATCCATTTAGCTTAAAACATCTTTCCATCTTTGGCTTAGAAACAAAAGCAATAAGCACTTCTGTAAAGTGTCCAGAGCTTGGTAGAGGGAGGTATCCAGTTGTGCCATTAGGTAACTGGTTTGTGAAATAGCTTATCCCAGTAGACACTGAAATGTATTTAAATGGTAATCATATTTCTAACCCAAGTTAGGTCATTAACCAAGTTTGTATTTAGACTTCTCACCGGAAGTTAGTGTTATCCTGTAGGCTGCAGTCAAACAAATAATAAATATTGTTTTATCACTCTTGAGTAGAAAATAATACCATCCTTGCATAGCACCATGCAATGTCTCAATTTTATGGCAGTGCTCAAAACCATATACAATGAGCATTGCTTTGTAGAGGCTTACGGCACACCCACAGTCATTGACACATGGGGATAAACCCTCCCTTCCAGTTTGCTGTGCACTGTGTGTACTCTGTTTTACAGCATTGCGTTTTATTCGATACCAGCCTGGACTGTGGTCCTGCGTGAGGTGGTATCCTTTCTCTGACTTCTGGGAGCTGCTTTCAGTTCACCTCAGGATGAAGATCCAGCAAATCTTCATGCACAAAGTGAAAGATTCAGGACCAGGTTTCAACTGTATTAGAGTTTTTGAATATTGAAAATCTTTGATTTTGATTCTTGAATCATCTCTTACAATGAATGTTAACTAGATCTAAAATCCCAACATGCTGTACATTTTGAAGTTCAGGTGAGCTCATTTCACTGAATTCAGAGAAGATTACAAAAGTTTTTCAGGTTTCAAGTGTAGGACAACCACTGTTACTGTTATTTTCTATGTAATTTTATTCTGTAGCTTCTCCAGCAATACGTTAGGACACTACATTTTTGATGTCACTTGGGTAACCGTCCTAAATCCAATAAGAGGTTAAGAACTAGAACAGTTCTTAAATTTGTGCCATTGTAACAATGTGGGCTGGAATATAGTAGCAAAGTTTTCAGCATTTCACTTAATGCTTTTCTGCAGGTAGATTCGTAAGTCAAGATCAAGTTTTGAGTCAAATAAGTAGGAAGTGAAGCATAAAGTACAGACTTCCAGAAGCAAAAAGCACAAAACCATTTCAGATTTTAATGAGATGTGAAATGTTCTCACCTTGCAGAAAAAGCTCTCCAAAGAAAGATCACCTTTGTCTTTAGGTTATTTTGTGGGTAGAGTCGTACTTTCTCTACTAACAGTTAATCTTTAATACAATTACTGTTCACTTATAATCATTTTACTTGAGACACCAAGGCTTTCTTCTCTTGTTCAGTACTACTTCTTTTTGCTTTCCATGGATGGAACCATAATAGCTGTCCTAACCATACAGTAGACATATCAGATCAATTATAGATCCAGCAGTCTTTTCCTAAAGCAGAGGTCTTCCTACAGATCAAATAAGGTAAAATCAGATAGCCAAGTTCCTGAGAGCATTGAAAATTCTACACATGATGTGTGGAAATCTGGATGCTCTGCATGGGACTTCACATGAGAATTAATTGTGGAGGCAGATTTAGCTCTGCATTTTAAATGGTAACCTTTTAGAAGGTGGTAAATCATATTTTAGCTTTTACTTAAGCTATTCCTCAGTAACAACAGGCAATGCAGTAACCTGCACAGGTTGGTGTGACTAAACTGGAGTACCCAATAGAGAATTACAATAATGCAGTTCTTTACTAGCTATAAGTAGAATGACGGACAACCCCAACTGCAAATTCATGTAGACGCTGGGTGCTCTTTCCCCAGTCCCATGCTTGCAGAACTGCATAGAGATCCATCTGTTCTTCTCGGCACTTCAGCGTCTATGTGGGGAGAGAAAAATCACAGGTTTGTGATGTTTTTAGGGTCAATCATAGTTTTCACAAAAGTCAAATTTTGAAGTAATTTTAGAAGATCATAATGAATTGGCTGGCTCTGTACTTTTTGTTATTATAGAGTTATCATCCTATTAGATTTAGTTCAATTCAATATAGTTTTGGCAGTTAAAATAGATGGGAAATAAGAAGGAAGACTGGAGAATCTGTCCAGGAAAATAAGTACCAGCAAAACCTCCTGATCAACATCTCAAAGGCTTGGAAAATTAACTTCTTTGCAAGGGGGTTTAAGCTGCCATTTTCTGCAAGGCCAGAAGGAATTCGCTGTATTCTGTCTAATCTTTGTGGATCGCTCCTTATGGCAGTGTAAAGATGACTAAACCTAAATGTGCTTAATGGTCAGTATATTGAAACCTCTTCGTCCGAGTCTAGGATAGAGAGAATTTGAACGAGAAGAGGACAATCTTTGAGGCACAGTCTGGATCTTTCTTTGCAGACCTGATTAACATGCTCAGCTCTTAGCAATTATGGTGTTTAATTTTATAAGGCCCCTTCAGTGCTGGGTTTCATGTAAACAGGAAACAATTAGAGAAGAAAAGTGGTGCTCTATTTCCATTGCATTTCCTGTGCAGAACTGTGGGCTGAGCCATTTGGGAGTTTTTCCCTTAATTGCACCCTTGGTTGTATGAGGTGTGTTGATTGACTTTGTGTGATGCCCCCCCAGACACCTGCTTGGAACTGATTCAGGCAACCGGCCTAGTGTAATGAAAGGTATTTTAGCTCAGTTTGCTATCTAAAAATACTGAGGGCTGGATTCAGTCCTCAGTTACGCAAGAGGAGTTGCAGAGAGATTGTGCCCATCTTGCCAGCTGCAGGAGGGAGGCGGGGTGGAACGGGCTCAGCACCGTCCTCCTTGCGGGCATTCCCAGAGAAGGATTGGCATGATTACAGCTTGTGATGGCTACAGGTAGTCATATGGCATGGCTGGAGAAACCAAGCTGCCCGCCCCACCTCTTTGATCGCACAGGATGTTTTGTGTCTGATCCTCTGAGCTCTGTGAGATGAGCTGCTCTACTTGCCTCGGGGCTCCCTGTTGGTTGCCGTGTCACACTAGTAATGATGTAGCTCCAAATTGGAAGAAGAAAAGACCACCTGAGGCAGCCAAGTCCTTTGAAAGTTTGGTAAGTGCCAGTTAAATGAAACTAGGACATCAAGATATCAATAAATCCTTGAAAGTTGAGGGAATTCGTTTGTAATTAATAGCAGTAACCAAAGCAGAGCATCAGGTGAACATCAATCTCAGCTTTCTTTTGGCAGCTGCTTGGTAAGTTTTATCACTGGTGAAGATCTTCAAATTGTATCATACTTTCATTTGGCCTCACAGATGCATTAGCTCTAAGACATCTGATAGAGGAATTCGGCTGCATATACATGAGCCAGAAAGCTTTGGAATTGCCCAAGAGAACTAAGATCTTTCCAGAACTGTGTAGTGCTAGTTCAGAGCAAGACACAGGCAATGGTTTTTTGAGTACCCCTGTAAGTCTGCAATTAAAACCTACAGTTTTTTTACTACTCGCTGGATTATTCATCATATGTAGCTGTGACTGGATGGAAGGATGGATGCATACATATAAACTTCTGAAAGGCAATTTTTATGGAGAAACAGTGAAATAACACAGTAAGGGTATTATTGCCGGAAAATGCATTTGTAAGCCACAGAAAGAACAAATACCATGTTCTAACTCAAAATCAGTTTTTCTTTTTGTTTGGCTGGTTAAACATGCACTCTGGCAAGGTCATTCTTCTCAGTATTACAAAGATACATGTGTGAAGATATTGTGGTTGGGCTTAGAAGTTTCTCTGTGAAGTGCCACTTTGCTTCTGCTCCATAAATCTTCATTAAAAATCATTTTATGATCATCCAACATGAAATATGAGATTAGATTGGTAATATATCCACAGTTAGAGAAAAGGATGCCTTTCAGATCTATGTGCACAGTGCAGAATTCATCTTTTTACATAGTTGTATCGGAGGGATGGTATTTAAATTGCAGCCTAGAATAATTGAAGGAAAGTAATTGTATTTATGCATTTAATGTTATGGAAGTTTATTTCTTACATATGTTTGTTGAATAAATGTCACCTTGCTGGAACTTGCGCAGCCAGATGATGTGTTCGCTTGCACAATGAAGAGCACTTCAAACATGCAAGAGGACAAAGATAACATTGGTTTTGTAATGATAAAGCCAAAGGCCTTTATTTTTATGCAATTGAAATTTAACCTCAAAAATTGTGTAGTGAGTTGTTTGCACAGCCCTTCCTTTGATTCTTCAGCCATCTTACCTGGAGAAGGATGCATAGAAGATGTGTTAAGCAGATGCTTGGCTGCAGTTTGCTTGGAGCTCTTCTGGGCCTTGGTGCTTACTTCTGATGAGGGAGTGGTTAAAGTCTTAGGCTGTGCTTTTAGTTGTTACCATCCTAAGTTTTTCTTTTTTGATATTTCTTCTCAAAGGCTGAGACTGACCTACTGTCAAACATTTGTGGGTAGCTTAACTGTTTTTCAGTTTGTCTTGTGTTGCTGAGCTGGTGAGTGCTTTGGTATTTGTTTTTTATACCCAAGAAGGAAGAAATCCCAGCTTTTCTTGATGTTTCTAATCTTTGGTAAAGTGCCTTGTAGAGAAAACAAGCACACACTGATAGTGTTTGTGGACTTTAAAGGTACATACAGGAGTGCTTGGAGGTCCCTTGATTTCAAACAGCTTTTTCAGTGGATATGCCCATGCTGCAGCTGTTAAAATTTTAGGCAAGTCAGGTTTTTCCTTCCGCAGAACATGCTTGAATCGATGTCCAAAGAGGCAAACATGGAAGAAAGATGAAAGATTATTTTGGGTATTGAAAAAAATATTACACATACTTCCAGCATTGACAGTGTTATTGGGAAGATGGGAGAAGTTGTGAAAGAGCTTGCAGATGATTCAAGGGCCACTAAAGATGCCCTCTGAGGAAAAAAATAAGCATTTATCTGGTGATTTCATCCAAAATTGGCATGTTAGCACGAGAAAGGACAGAAAATACTGAGCACTAAAGAGCTCAGAAAAGGGAGGCTGACAAGGGTCTGTGCCTGAGAGTTCCAAGTCCTGTGCACAGCAATTGTGACTAGTAATAAGTCTGATTATGCATTGAGGCAAATTAGTAAGGGAATTGCTGCATCTGTATCACTGGGTTTCTTCATCTCAGGAGCAGATGTCCTCCTGGAATGTATGCCTTAGCCAAACCTAGCTTCTTGAATTCAGTGTAGGAGTTCCTAGATTAAATGTGAGGACTTGAGGTATTCAGAAAGTTGTGTTAGATGGTGGTCCCTTCTGACCTTTAATCTGTGAATAAATAACTGATTTTGAACTCAAAGTGTTGTCTTGATCACTCTAATCAGCACCAATCAGTAAATACATGGAAAGGTACATAGTGAGCACACTGTGAAATGTTTTGGCACCTTGGGAGATTTTGCCCTTTTCAGAAGTGTTCCCTGACAATTCTTGAGATGGTCACATCTTTAGAAAAAGCACGTATTCTTATAACTCCCAACCTAGAAGCCTTTAATGTTGAGTTTCTGGAATTTCTTGACTGAAACAAGGTTAAAAAAAAATGTATTAATCTAACTGCCATATACAGTTTTTAATTCTCGGCATTTCATGTGTTATCAGCATTGATGGTGGTATCTCTGGGAGATCAGGCTCATTGCCACATAAACAACTGCTGGAGACAAGCTGTATCCTTTTCTTGGCTCTTGCTCACTGTTGTTCACGGGATCAACTTAAGTGTATGTTTTATCTGTTACCTACATAGTTTTATTGCATACTATGGATGTAGCAATACTTACGGTACCACTGCCTTGCATTTCTCACTGGAAAAACTCATGTTCATTTACTTATACCTTTGCCCATATCAGTCAGCCAGAAGGTGAAGCTCTGAAAATGGAGAATCAAAAAGTACTGTGGCCATTGAGCTTTGATTATGGATAGCAAACTGTTATTTTCTGAAAGCAAAAAATGGTGGCTGTGGGTAAAGTCAAAGGATGACGTGTTTTTGATCAAATACTGCTCCTTAGAGCTGCCACTTGGGCTTCAGAAACCAAATTTTCAGATAAGATCGAACTAAATCCTTGAAAAGAAAATGATTAAACCCTTGTGAAGTAAGTTTGCATCAACATGCAATTTTCTGCCTGAGAGCTTGAACTGAATTGAGTGCTGCCTATTTTTTTTTCCATAAGGCACCAGTTCTGAAGTTTAATGATAGCAATTTAAAGGCATCTTTGCTGATTTCCGTTGTGGGCAAACACAAAAGAAGTAGGCTGGAGGTTTCATGTCTGAATGCTGTCTGCCATCACAGGAGTGATGAGCTGAGTCTGAGAAACAAGTTTGGATTATTTTTTTTTTCCCCAATTAAATGCCCTCTCTTCCCAGTACTTCCCAGTATCAGTATACATACAGTGTGTGTATACAGTACACAGTGCAAGATACGTAGATTGTCCAGATAGTAAATTCCGCAAGCCCATCTTCCCTAAATATGTCTGTTAATGAAAAGCCTGTTATTGGCCTCTTCTGCAGCAAAGGCAGGGAAGTTTCTGGCAGGCAGAGTAGGGGAGCCTGCCTTTTATGTAGAAGACGTGTCCACAGTCGGGCTCAGCTCCGGGCCGTCCCTGCTGCTGCTCTGATCTAGCAGCAAGTGACCTCATGCTCTCTGCAGGGACGCAGTGACTCAGTAGCAGACAGATCCCATATAAACACCGTAGTGCTGGTTGGCGAGCAGTCAAACACAGCAGCCAGCAGGGATTTGAACACAGTGTCTGCACTTGAGAAAATGAATCAGAGGCAAAGAAAAAAAAACGACCCTAAATTGCTGGAAATTAAAAAAAGAACCCCAGACAACAAACCTGAGCACAGCACTGATTTGCATATTGAGATATTATCTGTGCTCTCTGTCTCTCTTTCTAGTAATCTCGTCCACTGTTGTTCGATATGTCTGATTTTTGAAAAACCAGAATTTTTTTTTAAGAAGAAACTGACAAAATCGCTATGTTAATTAGTCAATTGTTGTGGAAACAGGCTGCTTAGTTTAGTTTATTGTAGGAGTAAAATATGCCGTTAGGTCAGCAGAGACTAGCTAAGCCTTGTAAAGCTGCTTACATTGTATTAGAGAACCTGTAAAGTAAGGGGAGGCTCATTATTTCTTCAGAGTTATTTCAGGAACGTCACTATGAAATGCAGAAGATCCCACTTTACAAGAATCTCAAATTCTAAAAAAAAAAAAAAAAAAAAAAAAAAAAAAGGGAGACTATCACTGCAAACAGTAAAAAGATCTGTCAGTAGGAAAACAGTGCCATAGCTTGTTGTTTGAAGAAAAACAAATACAAAATGAAATGCCCCCATTCTAGAGAATCAAAGCATAGTATTCAAGCAGAGCTATTTAAAGTGCACTTTTTTCCTGCTGAGTCTCTGAATTCGGATGGGTTGAGTTTTCCTTCATGAAGGTAATCCTTCTCCCACCTTTGTCTTGAAGTATCATTACGTTTCAAAAGCTGCCATCCAATCTGATTGAGTCTTTTTTAGCGTCCGGGGTTCTACTGAGAGAGGCTGTCCTAGACTAGGGGCAATCAGAGATTTACTCAAAGACCACAGGAGTGACCCGTAGCCCAACTGGAAATCAAGTGAAACCATGAAGCAGTTGGGTTGTTACTGAGGGATGCACACACAACCACGTTTGTTTATGTTGATGTGGGGTTTGAAGGGTTCTTAACTACTTAATGAATTGTTTGTTTGGATCTTATGTGTGACATTCATTACTCTGCTGCACATACTTGTGTGAAAACTGAAAATAGAGGAAAAAGACTGCTCCTGAGTGGGCCAGTAACTATGGAGTTAAGGCTACAGGATGTAATGTGAAAGTTTCCCTTTGACTCATACATGAAGTGAGATGCTCAACCTTGCCTATCTACTGCTGTCTCAAGGTTTCCAAAGTGACTAATGGTTATAATACCTCCTCAGTAGGTTTGTAGTCATGAGAGTCTGGTTTGCAAAAGGTACTAAGCAGTTCCACTCTAAAAACTAGACTATTGGCATCAGAAAACTGCAGGTATGTACGGTCACTGTCCCCTGTGAAATCTAAGAAAACACTACTTAATAAG